CTCCCTTCTTTCCCTGTGTCCTTCCTTCTTTCCTTGGAGCTCTTATTTGTTATAAGTTTGTTTACATAAAAAATTAAATTTATGTGGGACACAAAGTCATACCTAATATCAAATCAGCGTAGAAGAAGTTATTTGTAACATATATCATACATGTATAGTAAAGGACTAATTTCAAGAATATCTGAAAGACTCCTACAAGTTAGACAAGAAGCATCCAAATGGAAGTAGGGAAATACATATGTAGAGGAAACTCTTTTAAGAAATACAAATGGAAAACAATAAATAAAAAGATGGTCAGCTTCATTAATTGATGGACTAACTGGTTTCTGGAAAAGTACCCACAGATATAATCAGAGATACAAATTGTTTTAAGGTAGGTAAGTGATGCAATCTACCTGTACACATTTAGCTATATGAAGCAGACACCTAGGAGCATCTCTGTTTGGAAAGCAAGCTGCTTTCCACTTCACAGGGCCCCGTTTACTATACAGAACATTGCATGCCACTGGGTGAGGATTTTTCAGGACCTTTGACAGGCCTGAGTTGTTTCATTCCTGAAGGCAGAGGAAAGATGTAAGATCTCCCTGGTCCCTCCCAAGTATTCTAGAGACCCTGGCCATATGCCTACCAGCTCAACAAGCGCAAACTGATCATACGTTCACCAGGTGAAAATACAGGGTCGGGCGAATGTAGGTTTACAGTTGTTTGTATGGGAAGTAATACAATAATTAATAAATAGTAATACAAGAATAAACTGTGTTTTGCATACTCACAACTATAAACCTATATTTGCCCAACCCTGTATATTACTGATGATAAACTGTGACTAAGCTTGGTTCCCCTTCTGTATAATAAATACTGTCTAGCTTTTAGTTTCTAGCATATCCTTCCCTAAAATGAATCCAGATGAGCTTGGAATAGTATGCTGTTATAAGAAAGTTTATTTCCAAAGACATCTGGAGGTTGTGACAAAGGAGGCAGATTGGAGAAACTCTCCCTGGTCAGTGTGACAACTTGGAGTATTAAAATGGAGACAATAATTTAATTAATTGAAGAGTTGAGTCTGTAAGTGGTCATAACTTCATTGTGTGATCCAAGGGAACAAACACTGTAACATTTGTTAAAGAAGCATTTTCAAATGTGGTCTAGGGTCCTTTCAGGGAATCAGTGAGGTAAACGCTGTTTTTATAAATTACTAAGAACTTAGTTGCTATTTTTACTCTCATTCTCTCCCAAGGATACAGTGGAGTTTTTCAGAGGCTGAGATAGGTAGTGACATCATTTCCCTGATGGCTAATGGAATGTGTGTTTTGTATCCTTGTGTTTTGAAGTCTCGATTTTAATATCTAATGCAGTAAATATTGATATAACCTGCACAAATAAGTTATTTGGGGCCCTCTATCTTTAAGAATATAAATGAATTAGAAACCAAAGAGTTTGAGACTTGTTATACTAGACAAAAGTAAATCTGACCAATGTAGGGTAATCCATTAGTATTTACAGAAATGGGCAGGGGAACCACTGAGTTCTCTAAGGAATGCAGAATATTTAGGCTTATAATGATACCGTACTTTCATGCGGTTGATTAGTGTAAGGGATAGCTGTAGTGATAGTGATGATTGTTTTGTTTTCTGAAACATATATAATTGTTTCTAGTTGAATTGATACTTGGAGGGTACTGGGTGACAAGTGAAGTGAACTGCACACCAACCTGAAGCCTGAGCCCTCGGAGGAAGCGACAGGCCTGAAAAATTGACTTTGGGTTCTCCCACCACCATAAACTCAAAAACGAGCTCGTTTCTTAGTTTCTTTTTCAGTGGTATGTGTGCTTTGTGAGCAATAATTTGCAGAATGGTTGGCGGAGGCCAAAAAACTCCCCGAGGATGCAAAGAAGGACCTTTTTAAAGCATCTGGAAGTCCTTGCTTCAGTCTGGGAATATTGCTAGGCCTGCTTAAGGGCTGAGGAGCCTGAGAGGGCCTCTGCTTTCGGGGCTGTTTCAGCGCCGTTGTCATTTCTGTGGGCTTCTGTCAATTACTTTTTCTCCTATCACGTGTCATATTTTTCTGATTCTTTACTTGCATAGTGACTTTTGATTGACTGGGAGATGTTGTGAATTTTACCATGTAGACTTCCTGAATATTTTGGCATTCCTATAAATGCTCTTGAGCTTGGCTCTAGAATATGGTTAAGCTACTGGGAACAGTTCAGTCCTTTTGAGGCTTTTAAGCTTTGTTAGTGGAATCAGTGCAGGCTTTCGTCAGCTCGCTAAGGAGGGAGTGCTCTTCTAAGCCTCTCGCCAGTGTCCTGTGGGTTTCAGTATTTTTCCACCTGCGGGATCTCTGAGCATTGTTCTCTTTAATCCTTCAGGTGGCCCTTCCCCTGGCCTCACACACGGCTGGTCCACACTCAGCTGAAGGTTCAAGGGGGACCTCTGCAGACCCACAGAGCTCTCTCTGAAGCTCTCTCCTCTGCAGTAATGTGCCCAGTGGACTCTGGTCGTCTTGGCTTTCCTGGACTCCTAACTCCTCAACGCAGGGAGATGAGCTTCCCCGTGGGTCCCCTTCTGTGGCCTAGAAACCTCTCGAGGCCATCAGCTGCGGCAATCATATGGCTCCTTTGTTGCCCTTTTCTCAGAAATCACGGTCCTGTGCTACCTTCTGTCTGACATCTGAAAACTGAAGCTTCATATATCTTGTGTTGCTTTTTAAGTTGTTTCAGACGGAAGGTAAAGCCAGTCCCTGCGACTTCATGTTGGCCAGAGTAGAAGTTTTACCATTTTTAATTATTTTGTAAAATTTCTATTGATTTTGAGAGAGAGAGAGAGAGAGAGAGGAATAGGGACAGAGAGGAACATCCATGTGAGAGCGAACATTGATCAGCTGCCCCCTGCACGCCCCTCACCGGGGATCGAACCTGCCACCTGGGCACGTGCCCTGACCCGGAATCGAATCGGCAACCCTTTCGTGCCCAGGATCATGCCCAGCGAGCTGAGCCACACTGGCCAGGTCCAGAGTAGAAGCTTTAGAAGTACACTTGCAAAAGTATAAGATGCTCCTACTTTGAGAGTCGATTGGAATGGCCCTTTACTACAATAATTATTTTCTGATCTGTAGTTAAACAAATTTTGTGTCACTATAAAATAAAATCTGATTGTGGTAATATTCCAGTGGATCTTTCTTTCTAGATCAGCAGAGATTCATAGTTTCTAATCACAATAATCTTACTCTGCCTCCTTTTGCCCATGTGTTACTTTACCTAGAACATACATTTCTTTCCTTTAAATGTTGCCTTCAACAACCTGTCATAAACCCAATTCTGTTAGTGAATTCTGTGCTTCCCATTACTTTACTCTGTCCATATTAGTAGCAAGGAGCCTCTTGTGTGATACTCATTTTATTTATTGTTGAAATGTTGCTTTATGCTCTTAGAATTCTTTATACAGTGAATATCTTCAGATTCTGAATGTCCTAGCCCTTGTGTGGCAAGGGCTCTCTTCCATTTTTCTGCTTTTCATTCTTAGGAAAATAGACTCAATTTTTCTTTTCTTTCCTCTCCATCTCATATAGAGATTGACATAAAGGACAATCGGTAAAATTACAAATGAGAAAGATTTTCTGGGTTTTTACTATTATTTATACATAGAAGATATGTACACAATGGTTTTGATTGGGAAACTGAATTTCTTTTCAGGTGATTCCAAGTCTGACTTGTTATGTAAAGAAGAATTCATTGAACTCAAGGACATATTCTCTGTCAAACTGAAACGGCGTTATTTTGCTAGTGGAAATGGCACTTTATTGGGCATCACACTCTTCATCTGTTTGAAAAAGGAACAAAATAAATTAAAGGATTCTACACTTGATCTTATCAATTTAAGTGAAGACCACTGCGACATATGGTTTAGACAGTTCAAGAAAATTTTGGCAGGTACGTACTCCTTATGGGTTCTTACTGGAATTTTAAATGAGTCTAGTTTCCTTGCTGTGGGTTATTACTAATCTAAACATGATATTGTATTTATGAGCACAGAAACTCTTGATTATGTTGGTAGTTTCCTTCTAATCCTAATATGTCAAGTGTTTCAGTCATGAAAGGGCATTAAATTTTGTCACATGCTTTTTTTTTTTTTTTTACCATAGATTGAGATAATAGGTTTTTTCCCTTCGTTCTGTTCATGTGGCGCATGACATTGATTTTTATATGTTGAACTATCCTTGTAATACAGGAATAATCCTGCTTGGTCATGGTGTATAATTCTTTTAATATTCTTTTAATATTGGACTTGTTTTACTGGTATTTTGTTGAGGATTTTTACATCATTATTCATAAGAGCTATTGGTCTGTAGTTTTTCTTTTTTTCTTGTATCTTTGTCTGACTTTGGTATCAGGGTAATGCTGGCTTCATAGAATGAGTTAGGAAGTAACTCTTGAATGACCATTTCTATGAAGAAGCTTTGATAATCTGAAATAACACAGTTCTTAAATAATTTAGTTCAGCTGAGAGTTGTTTTTAAAAGCATACTTATTTTTCTATTAGTGTCTTGAGCTTATATTAGAATTTATTTTCCTTACACCTACACACTGATGACAAGTGCATGTATGTCCTTACTGGGTGGCTTGAGAAAAACAGCTTTTTTGAAGATAATATTTAAATTGTTTATTTCAGGACAGATTTTTTTAAAAAGTTAAATAGCCAGAGAAAAGAGAAAATATTAACTAGAATATTATGTCCTAATGAAGTCAGTGCATCTGAAAATTTGTGTTATTTATATTTTATATTCTAAATAAAATGCATGAATACAAATACGATACAACTTGGATTTTTAGAAGGTTATCTTGTTAAATAACCAAACTGAGTTTTAGGATTTTTTTTCCTCATAGATTTATAAATCTTGCTTCCTTTTTAGCTCATTTCTTTCTGTTTGCCAGATTGATCAGGGTAGAGGCAGCTGGTGTGGTTGATGGTGCAGTTTGGAGTAAGATGACACAGAACAGAGCTGGGTGCCAGACAAAGAGCAGGCACATGGCGATGTTAGACAATTTCAGGCCAGGCATCATTAACTAAGAAGACAGAGTGTGGTGCCAGGTGGGTACTAGACTTATTGGGGGATCACTTCACAGATTATAAAAGTGTCTAACCACTGTGCTGTACACCTGAAACTAATATAAAATAATACTCAATGTCAACTGTAATTGGAAAAAAAAAAGAAGATGGAGGACCTAAGTTGGTCAAGAGCAGACAACTGAGAAGGTTTCACCCATAAAAGATAAGCTGATGTGACATGGTGAAACTAGGTGACGCTGTCACTAAGTGGCCCCCATGCTTCCTTGTTAGCCCCTTTGGGACCTTCAAGGAGACCTGATTCTTTTAGTTTCATATCCATGTAATCCGGGTGTTCATTAAAGTGTCTGTCGCCTAAGATACAAATATGAGTGGCTCAAGCCTCGTTGCCCGACTGGGAAGAGGGTGATTGCTTGCTTCTGGCTGGTCCTCTCTGGCTCTGATTTCCATGGGGTTTGGTCTATTTGAGGATTACCTTCCTGTCTCATGTCCATGTCCCTGCTCTGTCCTCCACTGCATCAAGTTTGGCAGATGGCAAGTGTTTGTTGATTTCCAATTTTTTTTTAATGTCCCCACCCAAGCAATTTGTGTTTGAAGCAGAATATTTGGATATTGAGTTACTTTTGAATATGTGCATTTATATTTTAAACTGGATCAATGAATAAGATGTGATGAATTTTTGAGGAAAGAACAAATTGGCAGCACTAGAGGGAGAAGGAAGGCAACTCTTAAATACTCTTAAGACTCATTGACAAAGACTGACCAGATTAAAGTGGGTTTGTAAATATAAAGAGTCTTAGGCCCGGTTGAGTGTGGCTCAGCGGTTGAGCACCGACCTAGGATCCAGCAGATCGAGGTTCAATTCCCAGTCAGGGCACATGCCTGGATTTCAGGCTCAATCCCCAGCAGGAGGCAGCCCATCAATGACTCTCATCATTGATATTTCGATCTCTCTCTCTCCCTCTCCCTTCCTCTCTCTGAAATCAATCAAGGTATATTAAAAAAAGAAAAAAGGAAAAGGAATCTCAGAATGGTTTCTCTGTGTGTTTTTTTTAAAATACGTTGTCCTTTTACATTCTAATTTTTAATATAGTTGAACACAGCATTTTAAAAAATTCTTAGTAATAGAAAAATCACCATAACTTTATTCACTAATAGGCAATATAAGTTAATTTATCCAAAACACGTTTTGTATCAGGCGTTGTGTTAAGCACTGGGAGTAACATGAATGAGATGTAATCCTGTATAAAACACCTTTGCCCTGGGAGACAGACAAGGAAACTTGTATTATAAATGTATTAAAGACCACAGTGAAAATATGAACAAACTAGTAAGGACCATAACCATTGATCTTTGATTCAGAAATTCAAATATTTAAAAAATATAATTGATTAAGGCTGATATGTAGTCAGTAATAAGCATAATATATAGTCATTGTGGGGAAAGTCATTTAACACAGTCTTTTCTGTCTCTTTTACATCTGCGATACAAAGATAAACATGCACAACCTTTAAATATAGCACATGTGTACACTAGATATGTTAATTTTTATTCAATTAGAGTGTGATCAGTCTCTGCATATTTGTGTTTCCTGGAAATGGTGAATTGCAAGTTTGGCTGGATCCTGAACCAACCTTTCTTCTAGACACTCTAATCTATACTTTAAAGCATATTAGTATTTGGGATATATTACAGCATCCTGTTGGAGATGTTTAGCAAGCGAGCATTCAGAGAGGAATACATGAAGAGGTGAAGAGGAAGAGTTCATGTGATGGGAATAGATGAAAGCTTGCAAGGAAGTAGTACAGAGTTTAAAAATAAAAGCAGAGGACTGAGTACAGAATCTTGGGGATACTCATATTAAAATAGGCAGGGAAGATAATAACTAGAACTAAAAAATAGAAAGCGTCAAGGAAACAGAGCCCTTATAGCACAGGACTGTTATATTTAAGTTTTGCTAGTTTATTTTTAATATTTAATGGTTACCCAGAACAATTAACAAAGGTATTTTTAGCATGCACATGTTTGAGTTATTTCTGATAATTTTCTGTTCTCTTTCTAACTGCTAATTTCATAAATAGGCAAATATCAATGAGCCATATTTATTTAATACATTTTGTCTTTGTAATGAAGCCTGCTCTTATTTTCCTGCTCAACAGCCTCACTTAGTTTTCAGCTATGAAAAATAAAGAAAATGGAAAAATTACTTAAATAGGAGTAATTTTTCCTAGTTTCCCACTAGATGTCAAATCTGTTTCTCATGTGATAATAATTTGGTCTTAATTGGATGCTTTCCTTGATAGCCAAAACTCAGACTTCTTAAAAACTGATTTTTGTTTAATATTTATGTTGTCTTGAATAAGAAAATCATGGTGCAATATATTTTTGGGTTTCTAAAAAAATCCAAGCTATATCATCAATTATATTTTCATGAACCAGGAAGATTTTTTTTCTTAGAAGAACAGAATGATGTGAAGTTTTACTTGGATATGCTGCCAAATGATGTACTTATAAGCAAAAATAAACTGGAAATCAACATTATAATGATTGTACAAAAATCAGCTGTTGTTATGTGTCGAAAGTATGATAGCTTCAGATATTTAGTTGTGCACTCTCTGAATTGGCAACACTTGTCTCCTTGGGGACAAGCTATTTTCTGCAAGAACATTATGTCTGAAATATGGGTATTTTCTCCTTTGAAGCCCTGAAAAAGTGATATGAGACTTTGTTTTATGACCAGTTGAATTGGATGTTAAAATCACACATGTTACTTCTGAATATGTTTTTACTAGCAATATATATTACAGTAATGTGAGAACTGATTAAATATGTATTACCTCATTTGCATGTAAATACCGAAGTCCAATCCATTCGAAGGACTCTGTCCAACAAGGATCATGTGACGTCGGCCCCCTCTGTCCCCCAGGACATGCCTCCCCGAGTGGAATCCGCACCTGCCACTCCCTCTTGAGCCCGTGTGCCTCCTCATGGATGTGTTTTATCTTTAGTAGTTCCGAATAAGGCTTTGTTGAAACAAAGCTTCCAGATGAGAAACATTTGAAAATTTCTGCTTTAGTCATCCCTGGGATGGTGACCTAGTAGCATATTTTCCCCTGGCATGCCTGATTCTGTTCACCTCCACACACGCAGAGAACTCATGGTGTTTTTCAGGGAGTCAAATATACACTCACTGTGGCAATCACAGAATGCGAACTAGCGGACATTGTCCATGTAATTTTATTCTTTTCAATAGATGTTACTTGTTAAATATATATTTAAATGTATTTTCCTTTCTATAACTTTATGAGATATTGCTTACCAATGAATCTGCAA